CATTAAATTCCAGTGAAATATATTTATGTTTGTGGTTGTAATGTGACAAAATATGGAAAAGTTCAAGGGGTATGAATACTTTTGCAAACCACTGTATAATTGCTATTTTTTTAATGGCCCGTTGTTTTCGCTACTGTCGTTTTAGTTTGTTTTGCGTGCAGCATTTTGGCCAACCGCAGTTGTTAAATGTGCTACACATCGAAATGAGATTTTATCTGATAAAGATTAAATTCAGTGTTTCTTTATCTTGTTGCACTTTCATTGCAAGATGTTATAATCCAAAAGGCTCACAGCTGAAGTCATGGTAGTTAAGTGTGAAAACTGCTATATTTGTTTCTGGCTCCAAATCAGACATAATAGTGATGCAGTAGCTCGAATGATGACTCAAAGACAATCCTTTGTGTTAGCAAATACCCCAAAAACATACAAACTAGTTGATTGCGGGTAAACAATTATGTCAATCTGCTCAGTAACGAGGCTGAGGCTAAAGACACACGGCTGTTTATTTCCTGTTTCCAACCACAGATTAACATGTATCTTCACACATGCTGCTCCTCTTGAACCTTGTTACTGTTTGCGCCCAAAGACAAAGTCTCGTGTCTTGGTAAACAACTAGTTGTGTGAAACACAAGTTATTGTTTTTCTTCTACACATAAACCTAACTTCAATATTCACATTTACCTTGTGCATGTAAAAAACACACAAGCACCCAATTTAAACATGTAAAGTTATATAAAAGACACAAAATAAGAACATAATAATTTTTCATGAGCATTGAACAAAAAGAATGTAAAAGTTCAAACAAAAATCTGATACCTTTTAATGCATCAGCATGATATACAGTATGCTATAAATATTGACAAAATGCTTGGTTTGAGCTGTCTTTTTAAGATGGGCGATTCATTAAACACACAAAGATTTAAGTAATTTAAAACACGTTTAATTAAACAAAATTAACCATCATTCCAAGTCCAAAAAATATGATCAATATGGTCAAAGACTTTGAGGGACTACAGGCTGGTGGTCGTTGCATTGCTCCTGTAAGTGTATGGAAAAAGCAGTGAACTGGTGGTGGGTGTTGGGGGGTGGAATGTATTACTGAGAACACCAGTCACGTGGAAAATGATACAAATAGCTCAAATCAAAACAACTGACTTCTATTCTGTTGCTGAATACTTTTTGCATCCCATCTGAGGCGCTCTTTTGATTAAAACAACTGGAGGATAAAAGCTTCAGCTTTGATTATGGCACGCATTCACTGTGGCATTGTTTTGAGAAGCTTCTGCAATGTCACATTTATTTCCATTCAGTGTTGCATTAATTTTTCATTAATGATCTTTCATTGATGATGGCCGCTGAACAAAGTCTTCAACACATCCCAAAGATTCTCAATGGACTCTGTGGAGCCAATCCTTGTGTGAAAAGCTCATGCTCTCTGAACCACTCTTTCACAACTCGAGCCCGATGAATCCTGGCATTGTCATCTTGGTCGTACCATCAGGGAAGAAACAATCCATTGATGGAATAACCTGGTCGTTCAGTATATTCAGGTAGTCAGCTGACCTCATTCTCTGAGCACATGTTGCTGAACCTAGACCTGACCAACTGCAGCAAGAAGATCATGGCACTTAGTTAAATCCATGGCGCTGATTTTTATCTTTTTTTGCCAGGCATTGTTTGCCTGGAGAGGTTTTTTGATGAGTTTATGTTCCTTTTCCTTCCCTTCTGTCCCGCATGGACGTGTTCAGCCAGGTGGTGTAGAGTTCTAATGAAAGTTAGTGTTCTAGTGAGTGGGAGAGTCACAGAAGGTACTGATCTGTGTAAGTTGATTTCCTGTAAACACCATTGTTGAGGCTCAACTTTCAGATTGCAGATGATTTTAGAGCATCTAGTGGGTAAATGAAGCAGTACACAGCTTTAGTAAAAACTTTGAAGGAAAGGTTGGAGAGGAATGAGGTCATGTGAACACCGACCTATCAGACAGGTTATAATGTTTACTTGATGCTGCACCTGTGAGGTAAGGAGTCAGATTAGGTGAACTGATTAACTTCTGAAAACTGCATGACTTCTCAGCAAACCCGAGGAGCGAGACTCATCACAGGTCAGTCATTTCTCCATAGTCATGTGCAGATCTGCTTAGGACATTTCACCTTCCTGTCTGTGGAAGACAAATTGACTTCTTGAGAGGCAAATTCAAACATGAAAACATGGGAGGCCAAATGCCACTTGACTCACCTTTCAAGTCCCAGCTCCAGTAAGATGTCATCACCATGAATTAAGCAGGTTCTTCGTGCAACACTGCTAATGCATCCTGATTTCCTGATGTGTTTTGCTCTTTTACAAGTGAAATTAGAGGACTTGGTTGAATATTAAACTCAATCATCTTTAAGAAATGCACAGCATAGAAAAACACGAGAAAATGAGACATTCAAATCGACTTTTGTCATTAAACAAAACAATATCATTTAAAGGAAACTCCATCTAATTGTAACATTAGACATAATTTGATAAACATTTACTCAAGTATAATATCTAATGTCATTTAAAAAATTTAAAAAACGTGTCGTCATACGTACGTTGCCATGTTATGGCACAAATAATATGAAAGTGTTCTGGGTAGGGCTGCACCTGTCGCCTATCAATGGATTAATCTGTCCATTATTTATTTTCATTAATCGATAAGTTGATTAGTCATAGTTGTTTCTGTCATATCTTTCTCTGCTTCCTGTGAGCACGGCTGCTGTTCCAGCTTCAGTACACATCTCATCTCACCAGCTCACACCTGTGAATGTGACTGTTGTCCAGTCTTTCTACTTTAATGTAGGAATCAACGTTCTCATAGCAAATTAAAATACTGACCTATGAAACTTAAGCTTCATCAGATTTATTTTTAACATTTTTAACATTTTCTGCAGGGTGTAGATGTAATTTTGCAACTCCAAATTAACTCAAAGTATAACTTTAAAATGACATTTGAGTGCATCAAAGTAAAAGAATATACGTATACAGCAGGTAAAATAAGTATTGAACACGTCACCATTTTTCTCAGTAAATATATTACTAGAGGTGCTAATGACATGAAATTTTCACCAGATGTCGGTAACAACCCAAATAGGGCTGCCACGATTAGTCGATAAATCGACGACTAATCGATTATTAAAATAATCTATGATAATAATC